ATATATAAAGAAATAAGATTACGAGGCGTAATACGGCGCCTCTAGAACTATCGGATATACCGATACTATTGTCGGAGTAGCCGACAATAGTAAGGATACTCGATAATAGGAAGGACTAAATATATATATGCCTAGGATAGTCACTAGTTTAGATAGAACACAACGAACACAATACAGTTCAGCCTATACTACTACTACACAATTCAATAGGTTATAAGCCCGGCTAGCTCTTAACCTAAGATACTAAGCCTTACTCGCTATCGACTACTATTCGAAATACCCTACCGATCTTACTATATATCGATAACGGATACTTTTAATCCAGACGACTATCGATATATAAACGACTTATATAACTAATCCCCGAGTATACTACTATACGAAGACAATAACGGCGGACAAGAACAATACCAATCAAATACTCTAAATACGGATACTCGACTACTATCAAAAATCGAAACAAACGACTCTTTCGTAATTACAATGGTTACTATCAAAACTATTGTAGTTTCAAAAGACCCTCGAAGAGAAACTCAAGCTACCGAAGGTAGTGAAAACCGATAGATTAATCTATTAATCTATAAGAAAGACCTACGCTACTAGTCTTAATCTAAAGAATTAACCTACTCCTTATACTTACTCTACTTAAGATAGCTTCTTAAGTAAGAATATACGGTTTAGGATAAACAGCTACAGATTAAACTAGTGATTAAACTATAATCATTAGAAAAAGACAACCTATATCTATCAAAATGACCGACCGACTTATACCGGAATCCGATAAGCTAGTCGGTAGTAGTAACTACGAGATCTGGTCCGAAAAAGTTAAGAATATCTTAACTTATAAAGGATACGAAGGGGCCCTAGAAGAGAATCCTAGTAATAACGAGTTAACCCTAAGATCGGCACTCTCTATACTAAGGTTAACCCTTAAAGACGGGCCTCTATTACAAGTAAAAACCGCTACGACGCCGGCTGAAGCTTAGAATATCTTAGAAAAACGGTACTCTCCGAAGGGATTCGCCGCCGAATACCAACTATTCTGCAAGCTATTTAATTATAACCTAGCTATTGCTAGTACTATAGAGACCTACGTAAACGAATATACTAGGCTTATAAGTGCCCTAGAAGCTAGAGGAATAGCTATACCCGAAAAGCTATCGATTTCGCTACTACTAAACGGAGTCGACGAAAACTACTCTACCTTTATTACTACGATTACGAATCGATCTAGAGACGATAGCCAAGATATACTATACCTAGACGATATAGTAAACGGCCTCTTAGACCAATCTCGACGGTTAGAAACCTATGAAACTGCTAGGGTCCTTTATACTAATAGCGGTTTTCGGACTACTCCGGCAGCCCCTATTAGTAATAATCGAGTTAGCAAATTAAGGAATCCGCATTTAAAATGCACCTACTGTATCGGAAAAGGTCGTACGGGTATAGGACACTTAGAAAATAAGTGTTGGATTAAATACCCGGAGAAAAAACCAAGCTACCTTAAGAATAAGGACTTAGGAGCTACCGAACAAGAAGCCCACTATACGAGGGACCTAAATACGACTAAGGACGCGTATAATATCGAGTTATCTAGTATGAATCAAAGCTATCCCGATACAGATATACTCGATACCGACCGAGACCTAAACGAAGAAGTAGTACTCTACGCTAGTAACGAGGCTACTAACGAACAACCTAAGGACTCGAATACGAACCTAACGTCTTATATTCGCGATATATCGGCAAAAAACACGAATCGAACCGTCCAGTTTCTATTGGATTCGGCTTGTACCTCGCACATTATAAACGAAAGGGCTTATTTTAAGACCTATACTACCCGGAATACACCCGTTAAATGGGGTAGTAAGGAAACTATAATATCACCCGGATACGGAGACGTACAATTAACCTTTACGGATACGAAAGAACCGTATATCTTAAAGGATTGCCTTTATATGCCGAATTTCGAAGTAAACCTCGTATCCGTAGCAAAATTAGACGCCGCCGGAGTCCAAGTACATCTTCAAGACGGTCAAGCCTACCTATTAGAGGTTAATAATAAGCGAGCAAGATCCCTTACTATCGGACGACGTATCGGGAACCTATACCGGTTAATTTATACGATACCGATAGAAGCCGGAGAACTAGCCGCTATAGCGACAACTACCGATATAAATCCCGAAGCTTACGTCTATCGAGATCCTTATCGAGAGTTACATATACGCTTAGGACATATAGGATATCCTGCTATGTCTAAAATAATAGAAAATACTACCGGAACCTCGATTATAAAAGAAGATCTTACTAGTAATAAGAATCTTACTTGCGAGGTATGTCTTAAAGCGAAATTCTCTAAGACTATAAGTCGAGAAATAAGTAAACCGGCTAATAGCTATCTAGATAAAGTAACTACAGATCTCTGCGGCCCTATAGAACCTATCTCTATAGACGGCTTTCGTTACTTTATATCTTTTCTAGATAGTTATAGTCGTTTTATTACTACGTATACTTTACGCTTTAAAACCGAAGTACTCTCTACTATTAAACATTATAAACTACACTCCGAAAACGAGTTTAGTAATAATATACAACGCCCGAGCCTTAAAAGATTTAAAACCGATAACGGTACGGAATTCGTTAATAAACCTACAACCGAATTCTTAAAGAACTCCGGTATTAGACACGAACTGTCGGCTCCTTATACTCCGGAACAAAACGGCCTAATCGAAAGACCTAATCGAACTCTACTATATAGAGTACGGGCGTTACTAATTCAATCCGGACTAAGCAAAAGATTTTGGCAATTCGCCTTAGAAACCGCGGAATATATCTATGTTAGGACACCGCATAGTGCCCTCGGTTTTAAAACGCCTTACGAGCTAAAATATAAGGAGAAACCCGACCTAAGTAATATAAGAACGTTCGGTTCTATTGCTTACTATACGAACAAGACGCCGAAAAAGCTAGAATCTAGAGTACGAAGAGCTATACTAATTGGTTTTAGTACTAAACAATACAAACTATACGACTTAGAAGCTAGGCGCGTAGTTTGGTCTCGAAACGTTAAGATACTCGATAGAGTATTCTTAAGTAGTACTACTTATACTACTAAAGAATCTATTAGTACGGATACACTACAAGATATACCGACTATAGAACTTAATACTATTAGAGATATTACTACTCAAAACGATAGTAATGTACTGCCGGGGCCTAGCGATAATATGCCAGAAGAATTAGAGAGCTTAGAAGTTACTCTACCTAAGAAACAGTCTCTAGACGCCCCGGAATCTACTACTAGTATACAAGAAGAGCCTAAATATAAAAGGCCTAGACTAGCCAAAGACGAGGCTAATACCCGAATACGGGATATGTTTGATCTATACGAAGGATATAGAAACAACGACGAAATAGCGTACTTAGCGGACGATAATATTACCGATCCGGATACGTATAAAGATGCTATTAATAGTCCTAATTCCGAGAAGTGGAAAGAGTCTATGCTTAAAGAAATAACCGATCTACAAGCTCAAAACACCTAGGAACTAGTAGAACTACCGCCGGACCGAAAAGCGCTAAAGCCTAAAAGGACGCTTCGTTTATAAATCAAAATTAAACGAGAAAGGCGAGGTAGTAAAACATAAATCCCGATGGGTAGTAAAAGGGTATAACCAAGTAAAAGGGATTGATTACGATTAAACCTTTAGCCAAACGGCAAGGCCCGAAACTTGGCGATCGTTATTCTACTTAGCGGCTTATTTTAATTGGGAAATAGAACAGTAGGATATAAAATCCGCGTTCCCAAATGCCGAAATAGACAAGGAAATATACGTCGAACAGCCTATAGGCTATACGGACAATACGAATAAGGTATGCCGTCTAAATAAGGCATTATACGGATTAAAACAGTCTCCTAGGCAATGGTTTAAGAAGCTAAGTAGCCTACTAGCTACTATAGGTTTTAAACCGATACCTAAGGACGAGGCTGCCTTTATAAATAAGGAAACTAATATCCGAATTACGTGCCACGTTAACGACTTACTTATATTCGGTCCGAATAAAAAAGATATCGACTCTATACGAGAATATCTCTCTAAGACGGTAGAAGTTACCGATCTAGGTCCTGTACGATACTATCTAGGTATAGAAGTATCTAGGGATAGGCCTAATAGGGTAGTAGAACTCTCCCAAAAGGCATATATTAAAAAGATACTAAAGAGGTTTAATAAAGAAACTAGCGCTAGCGTAGCTACTCCTACGGAGCAAGGAGTAATCCTAAAACAGTCTACGGCTAAAGCGTCTATAGAACTAAGAAGACCTATCTAAGTATCAAAAACAAGTAGGGTCTCTTATATACTTAGCTATACAAACGAGACCCGACCTATCTTTCGCGGTAGGGCAAGTAGCAAGATATATGTCTAATCCGGATAGGACTCATTTTAGAGCCCTAGATAGGATTTGGAAATATCTTAATGCTAATCAGAATGGCCTTGTTTATCGGGCTAATCGTCCGCCGCTTCTTAAAGGTTACTGCGACTCCGATTACGGGGGCAATTTAGATAACCGAAAATCAACTACGGCGTATATCTTTACGCTAGGCGATAAGGCACCGGTATCTTGGGTTAGTAAGCTCTAAAAGACCGTAGCGCTTAGTAGTTGCGAGGCTGAATACATAGCTCTAACGGAAGCTACTCGGGAATACTAATTCCTATCTAATTTAATAGTATCCTTAGATATAAATCTAGAAGGAAATACTATAGCTACCGATAGCTAAAGTGCTATAGCACTAGCACAAAATCCAGAGCATCACTCTAGGACAAACCATATCGATATACGATATCATTATATAAGAGAACTACTTGAAAACAAAGTAATATCTCTAGTATATATAAATACAAAAGATCAAATCGCCGATCTACTAACTAAGGCACTATCGGCACCTATATTTACTAGACTAAAGGATTTATTAGGCCTATAAGGACTTAAGCAACCGTCTAGAATCGAAACTGCCCTAGAAAATAAAAAGATATACGTAATATACTCTATAGAAGAGTACGTATACTTATGTTCTATTTAGTATAGAACTCCTAACCCTAGAACAAAACCGAGTATACTATTCGATTCTACGTATAAAACTTCCTAGATCTATATACTTAGGGTGTTATACGACTATCTAATAGTATTAAACTAACGGTCGAAAAAGACTCTCTATAAAACGACGAGGTGACGTCGGAAGAGACTTTGCGGAAAATTACCGGATTAAGCCTAGTTAGTCCGGGGAAATCTAGGGAAACTAAAAATCTACTAAACAATACTTCATTCCCTCGAAGTACGACAAAACCTACGATTCTATATAATAGGATTGTTTATCGGCTATCTACCGCTTACGGGGGTGTCTTGGAAATAAGCTTTATTAGCCTCAAAGCGAGTGAATGATAATTTCGGGCTACTTTGTCCTTATATCCTTCTTTATATATATACAGCCTTTATATATAAAGAAATAAGATTACGAGGCGTAATACGGCGCCTCTAGAACTATCGGATATACCGATACTATTGTCGGAGTAGCCGACAATAGTAAGGATACTCGACAATAGGAAGGACTGAATATATATATGCCTAGGATAGTCACTAGTTTGGATAGAACACAACGAACACAACACAGTTCAGCCTACACTACTACTACACAATTCAACACTTGACGACGGCAACTGGCTCCCTGCTGACCATGACTCTATAATATGTACTCTTGCACTCCTAGCATCGCGAACTACCCGAACAACTTTTCCAGCAGTCTCGCAGTGACTCTCGCAAGATAGTCCTGTACACTCGGGCATATGCCCAGCAAACTCCAAGTCTGTCGACTCCTGCTGTACTTCAATTGCTGGATTTTGGCCAGTAATGAGATTGTTGGCCTTGCCGCTTATGGCAACCTTTGGCTGCCATGGCTCCGCCTTAACGAACTTGCCTCCGTTGGCTATGAGCTGAGTCTCCAGCATGAACGGCATGGCGCTGGAAAGTTGGACTTGATCCTCTTCAGTGTTTGTGAATCCAGTCACCTCGTGGCCAGCAACCAAGTAGGACCCGTCCGTCAACTTGGCATTGGCCAGTGCGGCAGGTCCATGGCAGACTGCAGAGACGACCTTGTTTTTCTCGTAGAACTCCTTGATCAATGTGTGGGATTCTGGATCGGTAGCAAGATCGAACATCTGTCAAAGAAAAAAATGTGCAATCAGTAAAGGCTGCAGTATACCACTAGGCTTTGGAGCCGTCTGGACTTACCGGTCCGTGTCCGCCGACATAGAAGATGCCATCGAACTCATCAGCCTCGCCAATATACTTGCTCAGCTTTTCCGTGTTCTTCCAGAGTGATTCCTTCTCTTTCAAGAATTTCATGGCCTCGGCATCCTCCTTGAACATCTCAACAGAGGCAGGGTCCAATGGCGCCGCTCCTCCTTTTGGAGAGGCTACCACAATATCGGCCCAGGGCTCTATCTTGTAGTATGGATGAGCGAATTCGGGAAGATACCATCCTGTGGGCTTGTCGAGATGGCCCATTTTGTCATGGGAAGCTGTTTCATCGTTCAGCTAAGATATCGAGGACGCGAACAGCAGCCACTCACAAAGGATGAATAGCACTCTCGGCCTGCCGCGATCCTCGTGGCGAGAGACCTTGTCCTTGATCTTGTCGATAACAGCAGCCATTGTTGATCCTGCTGCTGTGCCGCTTGCTGCAATGGTTCCTGCTAGAGTGTAGGTTCCGTCGTTCGCGTTGAAAGTCGTTTGAGTAGAAGCGCGGATGATATATGTATGGCTACCTTTTGGCCCTTGCAAGCTGCCTCACTCCGAACGGTGCGAGGTATCTCCTGAGCTACGTCAAGTGATGTCATGATGCGTGTCTTCAGTCAATCCTCCGTAGCGTCTTGTGGCAACGATGGGTTGCTTTCGCCGTGCGTCCACGCCATGCACCACTGTGATGGTTTGAAATCGGTGCGAGTCGCATACGAGGCTACGGCCGTGTTGGCTGGCTGGTCCATACATTGACGCTCAGGCTTGCGTCTTGCTACGACGTAATTCTGGGCGACGTGACAGCTATCTTGCTGCTTGTTACCGGGGGGTTGATGCAGAGCGGGCAGGATAGCGTGGGCAGAAGGCAACAAGAAGACTTTGAGGGTTGGAATTGGAAAAGGTCGGTTGGTTGGTTGGTATGTCATTTGAAGCCTATTTGAAGACCTTTGATCTACGCGGCTTATGGATACGTGGCCTAATGCCCCCGTATCGGCTATAATTTGACCCGCTCCGTGCTAATCCTTCACCTCACTGTCGTTATAATTTTATGGATATTCCCGTCAACATTTGATTAGTGCGCCTTTTAATGTCCCTTAGGTTAATATATGCCTCTTAACGAATCTTAATAAATAAGTTAACGATCCCTTATATAACTAGGAGGTTGCTCGCTCAGTTAGGTAGTATAGTATGTATATTAGCTTACTAGCGGTAGGCTTAAGCTACCTAACTGCCGGCGTACTATAAATAAATGTCTACTTTACTACTATCTATAGCGATAGGTACGCCGCTTTCCTTTGTCCTTTTAATAAGCTAGTTCAAATACGGAGCCTAAGGGTAGTAGTAGTATTATAGGGCGTTCCTATAGATAATGCGTCCGATAGTAGTAGGCTTTAAAGGGTTGGTATTAATGTCCTTTACTAATATCGGTTAATAGTCGCTAGCGGTTTTATTAGTATATCCGCTAGTTTGCTAGCTATCTAGTTAAGTAGCCGTATAAATAAGTACGGCGCGTAGTATTAATTTACGCTAATAGGGGTACGCGCGGCATTTAACTATCGTTACGGTAAATGCTTAGTTGCCCTTAGGTGCCTACTAGGTTCGTTAGCGTATAGTGCGCTTTAGGAGGCGAGTGTAACGCTATTAGGGGATCGACTTAATAAACTAGTCCGCCTATTTAAAAATAGTAGGCGTCTAGAGCGGTACGAGGCAATAAAGCTAGGCGGATTGAGTTACGCCGTAGTAAGTCGTTCGTTACCTAGGATTTATATCCTTCTACTATAGTCCGTAAGCCCTCCCGCGACCTATAACGGTAGGTAGTCCCTCTAGCAGCCTCGTTGTGCTTAATCGCTTAGTTATAACCCTTCGTCCCTTTTTTATAGTATGCTTTAGCTAAGATTGGCGGTAGCTTAATAGTCTAGGCGGATATCTATCGTATAGCCGCTTTCGCGGCATTGAATTAGAGCGGTAGTACGCTCTTTGTATATAAATACTATATACTACTTAACTGTAACCCGGTAATACTATATAATTGCTTATATAGCAGCCTCTACGTATCGCTGTTTTATCCGAGCCTAGCGGGCCTATTTCGCTACTTTCTTCGCGGCTTTAGCCTCCTTCTTGGAATTTAATGCCGCTTCTTGCTTCTAAATTAGGTCGCTATACTTAGATTCTACGAGCTCCGGATCGATTGCCCTAAACTACTATAAGACTTTCGCCTTTAGTAGTAGTAGGGTGTTAGGACCAAAGAGGTTACACGTAATTAGTATGTGACCGGGCTCGAGTAAAGCTAGGGTCTTGATGCCTCAGGCAGGGCTTGGCGCTTAGCAATAGGCCAACTTGCCTGCCTTCCTCTCTCTCCTCCTAGCTCCTTATCGAATACTACCTATACCCACTACTACCCTATCTACCTACTAATATACCCTTCTTATATAGTATTCGATCCACCCTTTAAGGGCAGCAGCTAGATAGTCCTTATTTTAAGCTTTCAGCGGTGTAGCTACGAACAAGACTAATCTGACTATATTGCGCCCGAAGAACGGGACCTATACGTACTATCCTATTAAAACAACCGTACTAATTATCGAGCAAGGCCTTCTATACGGCCTATTACACTAAGTCAATCGTACTAGACTAATATCTACTAATTCCGCTACATCCGCATCTTAGGGGCTAATAATACATTATTAGTGTTACCCCCTATTACAATAGCCGGCTTATTACGAAGCAACAACAACCGTGCTGCCGCTAGCAGTGCTAGCAATAACAACGCTAGTAGTACAGTCCCCGCTAAAGTGCCTGCTAAAGTGCCTCCTACTAAAGAGCCTGCCGGAGAGCCTGTTAAAGAAGAACCTGTAATTCTAGGTAACGACCTAGAATTGCCTATCGACGACATTCTTAACAACATTGTTAATCGATGATATAGCTAGCTAGCCTTTAGCCCCTAACTAGTAGGGAGACTCTAAGAAGCTACCTAAAACAGGCTTACTGCCCTACGTTAAGAACAACAGCTAAAGGATAACCTCCTCGAAATTCGTCGCCTTTAGGAGGCCCTAACAACTAACACTAAGCCGATAGCAGGGCCTTCCTTACTATTAGTCCTAGTCTAGAAGAAGGATGCTAAACTCAAGGACTACACCGTGTTCGATAGCTCTAGTCGCAAGCAATACAATGATTATATACGTAATTATAAGCTCAACTAGCGAAATGCACTAAGGGCTCTTCTAGACGACTATTCCTTAGTTGTTTACGCTATGCAGTACATTAATAGTAACCTAAAGCGCACCTAGGACGACTATTTCGATTCCCTTAATAATTAGACTACTGTTTAGTAGAAAACCTACAAGACCATTATGCTAGACACTCTTAGAAACCCTATACTAAGGCAACAATACGCTTAGGACTAGTACCTTCGGGCTAAGCAAAAGACTAATTAGACAGCTCGCTTATTTAAGGCCTATTTAAAGACCCTCGAAGACGACCTCCCGACTAAAACTAACTCTATCTAGATCTCCGAAATACGCCCTAAATTAAGATAGGAATTAGTCCTTAAGTTAGACCGCCGCCGTGTGTTTAAACAGACCAATCTTATATGCATTCAATTTATAGTCGAAGTAGAAACAGCCGAACGGGCTATTTAGCTCTAACAACGACTAGAATCGAGGATCCGACTAGCTAGTACCAACCGTAGCAACCGTAGCCGCGGGGGAAACCAAGGTTCCTACTAAGACAACAATGCTAATAATAGGAACAGTAATAACCGTAGAAGAGGCCGTAGCCGCCGGCTATATAGAGGAGGCCGCGATAGGGGCCGTAGAAGGGGCTCGTATCCCTACAATACTAACCGCTCTACTAACAATAACAATAGCTACGGCAGTCTACTAACCGGACTAAAGTGCTTCAATTGTAATAGCACTAGCTACCTACTAGGCCAATGCGACAAACCTAAGGACTAGGCCCGAATTAACCGTACTTCCGCTAAGCATAAGAAACACCTTTTAGCCGCTAATGCTACCCTAGTCGGCTCTTTCAATTAGTCGAAAAAAGAGTAAGCGCCGTACCAACTGTTAGCCTCGTACGGCGTAAGACTATCGACATTGTGCTAGCTATAACACGCTCCTGCCTTATATAGGACACGAAGGGCACTACCTATTAAACTAAGGTTATGCTAGATCCAGGAAATTCAGTTAGTGCCCTTATTAGCTATCGCCTAGCTAAGCAATTAGACCTTCGATAACTGCCGAAGACCGACCTACTAACCCTTGCTTAGTTTAATAACGCTCGGCACTTGACATATAGGGCCTACTATGTTCCTATAGCTCTAAAGGACGACCTCGGAAATGAACGCCTACTAGACTTCACTGCCTACGTAGTAGATATAGATAACCTGCATAGGGGAGCTACTATTGTTATTAGTAACCCTGTTCTCAAGTACTACGCTATAGCTATAGACTTAGGCATTTAGAAGTAGCGATTTGGAATCGCTCGGAAAGAGGACATTGAACACATTAATGTTAGCGAGTGCCCTAACGATATTAGGGTCCTATTTATTAGCAACCTAACACCGGCCTCCGCCTTAGCTAATCCGATAGCTAATCTTCTCGGTAGAGATAACGATAAACCTATACCCCCTAATAGCATAGACCCTAATTAGCTCTCTCGTATACTAGTACCTATTCGAGAAACCTATATTAATGTATTCAAATACCACTTAGCATCGACATTGCCTATGTTTAAAGAGACGGATTATAAGATTAATATTATAGAGGGCAAGGAGGTTCCTTTTAGCCCCCTCTACAACCTTAGTAAACGAGAGCTTGCTGTATTGCGTAAGTACCTAGAAGAAAACCTAGCTAATAGTCGAATCCGGTATAGCAACAGCCCTGCTAGTGCACCTATCCTGTTCGTACTAAAGAAGGATAGTAGCCTGCGCCTATATGTCGACTATCGTAGGCTTAACGCTATTACTATTAAAGACCGCTGTCTACTCCCCCTTATTAATAAGACCCTCGATCGCCTTTCTAGTGCCTACTACTACACTATATTAGACATTAAGGACGCCTATTACCGCATCCGTATTCGCAAGGGCGATAAATAGAAGACAGCCTTCCGTATCCGCTATAGCTATTTCGAGTATTTAGTTATGCTATTTAGGCTAGCAAACGCCCCTGCAACATTCTAGTCCTACATTAATCGGGCCCTATTAGGCCTATTAGATCACCTCTATATAGTTTACCTAGATAACATCCTAGTTTATATATACTTACCCGACATTGCGGAGCACTAGGCTACAGTCCGCAAGGTGCTCGATCGCCTACGAGCCTATAGACTGTATTGCAAGCCTTCTAAATGCACCTTTGCTGCTAAGGAGGTAGCCTTCCTTAGTTTCATCGTATTAACTAATAGTGTTAAGGCTAATCCTAATCGGATCAAAACAATCACTAAATAGCCTGTTCCTACGTCTATTAAGGA